ATGGCAACCCCACTGTTTCAGAATTGAACTGTACTCCATAAGGTTCTCAGTGGCTATAATCTTTCAGAAGCAGTTCACTAGGCCTTTCTTTTTGGTGGATCAAACCAACCAACTTTTGGTTAGTGTGTTTGTTGTTAGTTGCCATCACGTTGATTTTGACTCATGGCAACTCCATGAATGCAGGGTAGAACTGCTCCATACGGTTTTTGCAGGCTGTGACTTTTCAGAAGCAGATCACCAGGCCTGTCTTCCGAGATACCTCTGGATGGGTTTGAACTAACAACCTGTTAGCTTAATTGTTTGTACCACCTAGAAATTCCATCATCACCATAACGTATATAAACTCTGTGAGGTTGGACCAATTTGTTCCGATTTTGCAGATAAGGCAACAGGATTATCAAATCTGATTATCACTCATCAAATCTAAAAATATAATGTGAAAAGCATACCCGGTTCTCTTCTTTCAGTTCATGGTTAGCATATGGAATGACGGCTTCCGGGCACCTCTCTAACAGTATGTCTATGCACTGTTCATACTCTTTCAAGCGTGTATGACACAGAACATGGACACTGAGGCCAGCAATAGTATCTTCTGAGAGCAACTCCAAGAAGGGAATAATGGAAGCTATGTCAAATGAAGGACCACATATAAGAGACTATGAACAGAAAAGTGAAATGTTATGGAATGAGGCACCCAACAAACTAAAACACAGCATACACGATACAATTCTTTTTAAAAGATTAAAAACCTCACTCACCAAAAGGAAAAGAACGCAATTTTATAGCCCATGCATATGGTTCTTATTTAATAAATGTAAGTGAACAGAAGTATTAAAAAGTGTTGAAAGCACATCTAGTTTAAAGAATATACATCTATTATAAAGAAACAACCATTATTTAAACATGTTTTATTTGCTCTGAATGGACTGTAAATTAAAGCTAACAAGACTGCTTTAGGGCTTTGTCCTAAGGAAATAATGAAGTATGTGGTCAAAGATTTTTGTTTAGTGATGTTCACCACAGCAGTATTCATAATACTGAAAAATCAGAAATAATCTAAATGTTCAACAATGTGGGAGGGGCATTAATTATAGACATTTGTATGATGGACTATTACACAACCATTAAAATTTTGTTTTCAATAGTATTTATTGAAAAAATATATGATAATATGAGTAAAAAAACTGCTATCCAAAATTATATTCAGAGTATCATCACAGTTTCGTAAAATGCAAACAGGTACATGCATACATAGAACTATCTTTGGTAGAGCCTCAAAAATCGAAACAGAAATTAGCTCTCTGGATAGGAAGGGAAAGCACATTTTTTGTTCTCCTCTTTAACACTTCCCTGTATTTTCTATAATGAGCAGTACATATATAATCAGGAAAAAGTTTCTTAACATTTGAAAAATCTAATATTATTTAGAACCTATTCATCTGTGTTAGTATCTTTTGCCACAAGCTCAAGGATATGGAGCAGGTATTATATCAGCATTCAGAATTTTAACAGTATTTTACTTTTAGGCATTTAAAGTATAAATACTACTTTTGATTTTACCACCAAAATAAATGCCACTTTCTCCTTCTCCTGGATAAAGATGAGATGGTCATGTCCTGATTTTCTTCTCTCTGTGCCCTTTTTGTTACAGCATCTTCTCAGACTCACAGGAGGATATGGAATGTGCACTATCCATTTACAGTCAGCATGACCATCTTTTTTCAAATCTCTGCCAAAGCATGGCTAGGAGAATAAGGTTGGTCCCTTTCCTTTCTATATGCTTAGTAATCACCTTCATGTGAGTTAACTTCCTGACTATAAAACAGCAATGATGAAACAAAGTGATAATCTCTCATGCTTAGGGTTATCTCCCAGCATGAGCGAAAACACAGATTATTTCTATTTCAAGTTTTGATTAAACAGAAATTCAGGCAGAAAAGGAAAGGAACAAGGCAAGGATAACCTAAATTATTGTTAAAATGAAATCAGTCAAAACTTGGTATAAAATGGATTAAATCTATGAAATTTTACTGAGCTTTATCTTGTATCATCAAAAAATGAACAAAAGTCTAATAGTTAAGAAGCACTAAGTATTACATATATCACCTGTAAAGGCTACTACAATTCTTTAAAATACTGTTAATATTTGCTTTTTAGCAGAATGCTTCATGTTTTTCCCCCCAGTATTAGAAACGGACTTGCCCAACCCCAAGACATGCACTATTCCCATCTCTGATCTAGGTCCCTCACCCTTAACTCTGACTCTGCAGGGATCAAGTCACAGACTTCTCTGTCTTCTCCACATGAGCAACCACAGCTGTGGCTCCAAGGAGAAGCTGGCAAGAAGGAGGGACGAAGAGGAACCAGGACAATGTTGGCAAGGGCAGGGTATTTAGCAGTTACTATGTCATTCCAAAGGAGCCCTAATGGTGCAGTGGTTAAAATGCTTGGCTGCTAACCAAAAGGTTGGCAGTTTGAACCTATCAGCCACTCCATGGGAAAAAGATGTGATAGTCTGCTTTTGTAAAGATTTACAGCCTTGGAAACCATCTAGGAGAACTCTACTCTGTTCTACAGGGTTGCTATGAGTTGAAATCTACTAGGTGGCCAAAGGTTGTTTTTGTTTTGTTTTGTTTTGTGTCATTTAGAATAGAGACATTTTAACAGGTAGATAATTTATGTTGTTGGGTACTTTTGAGTCCGTACCACACACTCATAGTGATTCCATGTGACAGAGCACAACTGCACCACAGGGTTTTCTAGCTGTAATCTTTATGGGAGGAGACTGTCAGATCTTTCTCCCATGGAGCTGCTGGGTTAGCTGGAACTACCAACCTTATGGTTAGCAGCTGAGCACTTAACTGTTGCACTCCAAGGCACAGATATACTATTACAATGATTAAGAGCAAGACAGAGACTTAAAATCATATGGTCCCAGGCCACCCTTTGAGCCTAGAAATGGACTCACTTACATGGATTGGCTCTCAGCCCAACAGTAGAAAAACCTACATACAGAACATCTACCCCAGGTCGATGCACCCCTTGGATCAACCAGCCATGAGACACCAGAAGGGCAGCACTTATATAGAGGGAAGGCTGGAAAGACAGAAATGCATGGATGAAAGGAGCACAGGGAGGGTGTGGTCAGAGGGAAGAGAGTGGAGGAGAGTCTTTTATGGTTGGGGACAGTAATCTGGGCCTTGAAACGAGATGTGCATGAACTGTTGAACGTAAAACAAGTTTGCTATGTAAATTTGTACCCAAAGCACAATTAAAAAAAAAAAAATTGTATCTGTGTGATGGGGAGGATATGGGGGGGGGCATGTGATTTGGGAAAAGCTCTCTAGGTGATTCTGAACTTCCCCATTCATCCAAAACCAATGAGGTCTTTTTTATTTCTTAACACTGATCTTTTTTCTTAATGACTAAGACTAACCCACCCATATACAATCTAGAGAGAGCTACAATTAGAAAAAAGATTTAGAGAGGTTTAGGCATGCTACACATCAATCCTTTAATAACAGAGATTTCCAGAAAGAATGTATGCTTTTTAAAAACTTTAAAATCGATTTTAAAAGATCAATGAATAATATTTTTTCAAACAATGATTATAAATATTCCTTAAAGTTTTACCAGCAGAGATTTAATAGCATTTACTGCTATTACAATATGTACTTAGTAGGTATGTTCTGTTCTATGAGGGCAAGGCCCTGCCTGTCTCATCCAGTGCTGTACACTACACTTACAACACATGTGTAAGTAATATTCATGGAATGAACAGATGAAAGAATGAACGAATCTGAGTCTAAGCCCTTAAAAAAAGCCTCTGTAACATAAGGGTAGTAGAGACAAGAAGCAACAAGAATCTTCCTTGGTGATTTTTAAAGAATATAATTAATTCTACTTCTGGGAACACTACAGTCCTGTCTAGAGGCCGAATCTAAGCAATATGGCCTCTCAAGCCTCCCTAAACCATATCCCCAAGTGGACAGTTTGGTTTCTATAAGCAATAACTTCACTTACAGAAGCTTCCAGACTGGAAATCAGGGGCTGCCTCAAAAGCATCAAAGGGCCAAATGGATGTTGAAAATCCATGAAAGGGTCAGAGCATAAGGGAAAGAGACATCTGACATTCAACCTCAAGATTAGAAACCCATGACGGCAGCTGAGGACTGCAGCCAACAGTGCAGCATGAGCACTGTGCAAGGAGAGGGCACAGTGGTTGGCACCAGTCGTTGGGTCTCAGAAGGAGTGAGAGTTGAGGGTTACCAAAACTGCTGAACTTTTCAAGAGACACTTGAAACTCAGAAATCTTAATATGAAATCTCAGTTTTGAAATACTAGCAGACCAAACAAAATAGATGTGAAGGTTACGTTAAGTCCTTGGGCCACCAATGTGCATGAAATATTTATTTCTACATGAAATAAAACTGCTTACACATCTAGCCCAGCCTGATTCACCAAATCAAATGTAGACTTTATTTTGCATTTCCAGTCAAAATATTGTCATGGTCAGAATTCTTGCAAGATGCATCTATACTATCTCATTATGCTTCCTATTACTTTTCAAAAATTCATTTTAGGAGCTAGCTAAACTGGCTAATTTTACTCATTTCCTATAAGACAGATAATAGTGGCTGATTTGTATAAGAGGCCTAAAATATGTAAGTCAACACTAGAAAAATGAATTTGATCAAGAAAACCACCACTAAGAATTTGCCACACTATCATTTTACCAATTTTTCAAGGCCGTCCTGAAAACGAGACAAGAAAGTCATGCGGCGTGGTGAAGTTGACCCATCTACCTGCACTGAAACCAGCCTCCCAGA